GACCAAACTAGAATTTCTCTCGGCAATTTAAACTCAACTGAACATGAAACATCCTTTACTGAACAAAATAGCATAATGTGCTCAAGGGATTTGAACTTAACATACATACTAAGCATGAGCGGCCGGTGGCACGTGCTATGTGGACGGCCACTTCCTTCGGCCCAAACAACAATTAAACATGAAAATTCTCTCGAACAACACTGAATGACTGATCATGATATCACATAAAAAGACTGATTACATGCTTATTACTCGAGAGACTTTACTTAAAACACAAGCATACTCGTGATGCACTCACACGGTCGAACGACCTCAAGCCACACCATGAACATGAATAATTCTGAATTAACATGACCTTAACATAGGTATTCTAAGGTAATCTGAAGTTACCTCTTCGAACCACTAACTGAATGCACCAACTGATCGGTGTAGCCGGGCTTCCGTGCGTGACGACGCTCTCGCGTGCGGTGTGGGGTGCGAACTTGCCGTGCGGTAAGTGGTAAGCTTGGAGGAACTCTCACAATCTCACAACTCACTCTTAACTTAATAACACATATATGGTGCTGAGGTAAGGTGGCCAAAATTTTCCCTAAGTCCTCTATATATACTAAAGTCGAATGGGAAAAATTAAATTAGGGATGATGTAGTGGAGACGTGGCCTTACCATGGCTTGACATTTGCTAGCTAATTAGGAGTTTTTATGGGTGACTAATCACCTCAATGTCCACCTCATGCTATATATTAAGTGAGATTTCCCTTCCATGAAGCATCCCTCACGGCAAATGGGAAAATAAAGCTACGGCTTTGGGAAAATGATTGGGGAACAATTACATAACTCACGGCTAATCATCCTTTAATTGTGATTAATTAGTAATTAATCACTTGCTTATGCTTAATTAATTATTAAGCATAATACTACATTACCAAATTTATTCCGAACGTTAACGGAATGTCGAAAATAATTTCGGGTAATCCCGACTGAAAATAATTAATTCCGAAAATAATAATCGACAACGTTATTATATCAGAACTAAAACATGATTTATATTAATAAACTGACGGGATATTACAACTGGAAGGTCGATTGTCCTCTCCTCAAGAAGGGCAAAGAAGGTAACTCTCATACTTTTGTCGTAGAAACATGTTTAGCGGTAGTATCTACCAGTACCTGGTGTGTAGATACTGGAGCCACTAATCATGTCTGCAATTCTTTGCAGGGGTTCCAGGAAACCAGACGGCTTAGGGATGGAGAGATTACAGTCTACATGGGCAATGCTACGAAAGTAGCAACAGTTGCAGTGGGAGTAGTTACTTTAGAATTGGATTCTAGTATTTTGGTTTTGAACAATTGTCTTTTTGTTCCAAGATTTAGGAAGAATTTAATTTCAGTTTCTAAACTCGTTTTGAATGGTTATTCAGTTTCGTTTGATAACTCAGTTGTTATTCGTCATGGTAATCATTTGATTTGTTCTGGTTCAATGGTTGGCAATCTATATGTTCTGAAACCAAAGTCTCCCACATTGCAACAAAATGAATCGAATAATGTCTCGACTAAAACTAATATGAGAAAAGAGTCTTCGATGAATCATGCATATCTTTGGCACCTTAGGCTTGGGCACATCAACCTTAGGAGGATTCAAAGGTTGGTATCTACTGGGCATCTTGGTCCAGTAGAAGATCATTACCAGGCTTGCGAGTCCTGCCTAGAAAGTAAGATGACCAAGAGGCCGTTTTCGGCAAAGGGGCGAAGGAGCCAAGAAGTGCTAGGATTGATTCATGCTGATTTGTGTGGTCCTATTTCGATCCAAGCTAGAGGAGGCTATGAGTATTTCTTCACTTTTATTGATGATTATTCTAGATATGGATGTTGGAACCCATGAGGATCTCGATATGGACAAATCACGGACAAACATTCAACATAAACCTATGCGCAGCGGATCTAATGGTTTGATGAAGAAAACTTACTGCTTAAAATTTATGTAGATCTGGCTGGCCCGGACAAATGACCGCAAATCAAATCTTCTCGGAATCGAACAAACTTGACCAATCCAGGAAGCTGACGTCACGGCGAAGTCAACGGCGTTGACCGGTCAGAAATCGGGGTTTTCACGCGCTCTCACGCGCGATCACAAGATCCAGCAGCAGCTCCCTTCCGGCGGCGCGTGCAGGCGCGTGCGGCGGCGGCTGGCGGCGATCTCTCCAGCTCGTCGTCCTGGTCGTCGTGGTATGGTCACTTGCTGGTTTTGGTATCCGGTTGGGATGTATGATAGATCTGATTGGAATCCCGTATATACCTTAAGATCTTCTACTGTATTCTCAAACAGCTATCTAGATCTTATATCAGTGGAGCACAAGAAATAGATCTACTCCTTGGAAGAGAGAGAGAGAGGGGGCGGTCGAATTCCAAAGAATATGGGATTGTTCTTCTCTTCCATGAGCCTAATGTTGTATATATAGAGCTACAGTAGGGACCCTAAGGAGAATAGGATAAGGGCTTCTAATATATTAATACTGTGGAGTAACCCCACAATTAATATGTTAATAATATTAAAGTCCACCACAATAATATTATTGCACTCCCCTCACCTATCCCAAATTACATTTGGGACTCCTTATTATAATTATCCGATTTACTTCCCTATGTTTAAGATATAATGTCCATTAATTAATTCGATCACTAATAATCAAGAATTAATTAATATATTATATTACCGAAGCTAGCGCTTGCTCATAGCATTCATATTATGACGGAATAAATCCACCTGCAGGGTTTAGCATAATATTCCTTCATGAACTAACTTCGGGGACATCATCATACTAACGCACATGGTGACCGTAAATATCCTAATAGCACATCGAACACATAATGTCATTACCCAATTCATTAAGTATGTCGACCCGGCTTGGATCTCACCCTAAAGAATCAAAGCAACAACAATTATGTGCACATGCCTATTTAATACCTTACGGATTAAGAGCACGCAATAATTAACTGAGGCCTAGTTCGTTTACGACGATTAGC